CCCCAGAAGTTGGTGGTCTATCGTTATCACGTCCCTCTCTTATAATATCCCCTCCTGTAACCCCCCTACCTTACTGAACCCCTCTTCTCCACTTCCCCCACCCCTTGTAATTCTACGATCCTAGGTTAAAACTGTTCCTGTAAGGATCAACCAAATTGTCTTATAACACATATAATTTGATAACAAATGAATGCATATTCTGGGAACTGCCAGCATTCCGGTTTTTTCCCCGCGATTGTGTTAAACCTATACACGAGACAGAATTCCGTTTGCAACTCAGGTCTTCCATGTAAAAGCGTATAATTAAGAGGCACCGTGTTCTCTCGTGTTTCTGCTCGTGTGTACAGAGGAAAGAGATACTTAACGGTCTCCACTGCATATCTCCGCCAAAACTAGACAATCGTTCTCAACAGGACAGTCAAGTGTTCATTTGTAGACACCGACTTCCAATATACCGACAAGTAGATCTCTCATTATTTCTCTTCATTATGGCATTTCATAAATTGCAGATATTTGTTTGAATTTTTAAATAAATATCTGAACTAAAACAGGTGAATTCCAAATGTTAAACTTTTCATTAGCATATATATTTGAATTCAATACATAACATTTAAATTAATACATTCTGATAAAAAATAAATTAAAAAGGAAAAATTCAATTAAAAAAACTACAATTAAATTAAAAAATAAATTTGAATCAAAAGATTATACGTTTTGATCTGACTTTTGTACTCAGTGACTGGATGCTATATACTCCATTGTGAGGTCAGATCCTCTGTCGTTTTATGGTTAGGTTTTCCTAACGAGGTATTCAAGAGAAATTGAGACCTGCTTGTAAATATTGACGCTTCACAATTTCGTAGGTTTCTACATAATGTAATAATAATTTTACATGTAGGTATTGATGTTGGAGGGCATTTTCCGTAAATCATGTTTTCTTTACCTTCGTATATAAGATTCTCGTAACACCTTACCCCTTTATATAATACCTATACCATGGAGAGTTGTATATAGATATCTATCGACATTTACAGATGTTAGGTGTTAAAGCCATAGAAATAATTACATTTCGCCGGGCTTGTAGCGCTAACGAGATCATGTTTCTGCGCGCGGGTTGTAAACTGTTTTAGCGATATATTCGTTATAATGGGATAACAAACTAACACCCTACACACGTGTCCCGCGTAACATCTGTGTGAGGATTAGATTGGAGGTATAGATACATACCAGTCACTATACTATATAGGATTTATAAAAAGTTACAGCGCACACAAGTGTCGACTGGCCAGTCGTCTTTTCAAAAGGCTGACGTATCGATCGCCAGCTGTACATGATGACGTCACCAAAATGATGTTCGATACGTGTTTTTTACGGTGTTATGTCTTCTACCAGTACACAATAATATCATTGTCATGACATGCACGATTTTAAACGCGAAAATTCAAGTACACTTAGATCTGGTAAAGCCTCCTAGCATTGCTGGTTAGGTTATGCCCACGGTAGATATCCTCATTCTACATTAGTGTTCAGTATACGTTGTGGGGTTATTTCTTCCTCCTTTGAGTGTGTCTTAGGGATTCAGAGGATCCAACTACCTCCGCCCTGGTTAACCCGTTGTCAAAGTATTGTGGCCGGTAGGGTAACAAGATATAAGCGTTATGAAACGGACCCTGAGTGGAGCGATCAGCTGCCAATATAATAGCCATATTGTCAAATTCGTTTCGTTACACGTTTAACCCCAAACAATTAACAAACACTAGGTACACCGTTAGAGAGAGAGACAGTGCCGGAAATAAAATATATACAGACCGGAAGTCGGCAATAAAGTGGAGCATCTAATCAATGGCTATAACATACTCCTTAAGTAGGGAAAGAAGAAATCAGTTGTTTTGTTAGGGAGTCCTGTGATAATATGAGGATTGATGACAGGTGAATAGGTCACCCAAGGGAATAGTGTCACCATTATAACCCATCACATAACGGTCCCAATCGGGAACCGTCGGCACTTTCCGTAAACGAGAAAATATTATGAAAGTTTCTCGTTTACGGAAAGATCCGACGGTTCCCGATTTCAGGCTACCCAGGGGTTCCTTGGGAGACAACTCCAAAATGAAATAGTAATTAAGGAAAGCAAGCAGAAGTGTCTATAGTGCTGTAGACGGGACAGTATGTCAGTTTTGGTCTCATTGTTGTCCCCATTAGCCCATAAAGCGCCCGATTGTGTAGGGTCACCATACATTATTCACTTCGACTAATGATTGGTTCATTTGACCAACATTCAAGATCACATGGGTCAAGTGTGATTTAAAAACCTTCAAACAAATTTTAACAACTCAAGATGCCTACAGTCACTGCCTTACTTACCATGTTCTTACTGAACAACGTCAGCGGATACTTTCATCGTGCCAATACTACATGTATTTAAAAAAAACACATAATTCAATAACGTTGCGAAAATGGGGGCAAACATTCGCTTTCTATACGCTTTCTTAATTGAAGCAAAGTGACTGAGAACGGTGTTATTTTTATCTTTACACTATTAACTGTTTTGATTATTTGTCTTTGTGATTGATCGAATTTTATCTTTGTAATTAATTTTACATTATCTTACATTCTTTGTGATTAATTAAATATCATATTTGTGAGTGACTTTACATTATCTTACATACTTTGTGATCGATTATACTTATTATCTTGGTGGCTGGGCCCATGGACCCCCGTCTTCACAAAATTTAGTCGAACAGTATAAAACATGTTGTTGTTATTGCATACCCGCTCACGAAACTGTGCACGCCCGACATGTCAGAGGTCGCGTGTTTAAGTAGGCGTGTGACGGGGCAGAGATAAGATATATCCCGTACAGATGATCGCTACAAGAATGCATGTCATTCCTCAGCAACTACACGTGTACTCACATCCATCGGGCTCTGTTTTGCACGTGACAAGCAGTTATAACTGTCGTGTATACACAATACCACCGAAATATGGCCGCCAAGCATATTTCAAACTATTTTTACATTTCCAGACTTTTGATGGACCTTTTTTTTATTCGTGCATTTTGATAGTATATTGTGGTGTTTAGTTTAAATACCTAAAAACAAATTTTGAACAACTTTTCAATTTTTAAGAATCTCTATCGATAGACCGTCGATACATAACCCTGGTTCTTCTCATATGACCTTAGCTGTTGTGAAAATTCTCCCAACAAACAGGTCGTGTGTTCCCATGTTATTAACGTAAAGGTCAAGGTCACAGCAAGGGTCAAAGGTCAAAATTTATTGATGTCCTATCAAAAACACTACTCGAGGGAACCTATTTATAAAATAGGTCTTGCACTGCTTTGATCTGTGATCATAAGTTTAAGGTCACAACTTTGGGTCAGAGGTTAACTGATTGCAAGTCCGATTTGAACAGCTAAACATTGTTCGACTATATGGTGTCTCATCTCATTCAAACATTCATGAACCAAAGTCAAAGTGTTTCTTTATATTCACAAAACTTCCTCTTGTGGAATCTATTTCCTTTGGAAATCTTTGTTTCCATTGAAAATGATGGGATACGTACAAAGGTAAATATACCCAGGGTCATGTTGATGTTTCTTTCCGAGCGACGATAATTCGGTCCTGTTGATGTTTGTATTGAAGCAAAGACAGTTAGATCATGTTGATGTTTGCATTGAAGCAAAGATATTCGAATCATGTTGATGTTTGTATTGAAGCAAAGACAGTTAGATCATGTTGATGCAATGATCACTGGGCGATGTTGGTGATTGTATTGGAACAATGATCACTGGGTGATGTTGGTGATTGTATTGAAGCAATGATCACTGGGTGATGTTGGTGATTGTATCGGAGCAATTATCACTGGGTGATGTTGGTGATTGTATTGGAGCAATGATCACGGGGTGATGTTGGTGATTGTATTGGAGCAATGATCACGGGGTGATGTTGGGGATTGTATCGGAGCAATGATCACTGGGTGATGTTGCTGATTGTATCGGATCAATGATCACTGGGCGATGTCGGTGATTGTATTGGAGCAATGATCACTGGGTGATGTTGGTCATTGTATTGGAGCAATGATCACGGGGTGATGTTGGGGATTGTATCGGAGCAATGATCACTGGGTGATGTCGGTGATTGTATTGGAGCAATGATCACTGGGTGATGTTGGTGATTGTATCGGAGCAATGATCACTGGGTGATGTTGGTGATTGTATCGGATCAATGATCACTGGGCGATGTCGGTGATTGTATTGGAGCAATGATCACTGGTTGATGTTGGTGATTGTATTAGAACAATGATCACTGGGTGATGTTGGTGATTGTATTGGAGCAATGATCACTGGGTGACAACATTAAGGGTTCTCAGCCTTGTGTTACAATACAAAACATCCTGGTTCTCATTGTAAATGACTAGTATCTATAAGGGTAATTCTACATGTATAGACGTACAATATTACGTCAGATTTAGAAAGTGTGGAATTCATGCCTTTGTCATGACAATAGTCTGGACAATCAACTAATGTAGCACGTTAGTGTAACATTTAATGATCTCCTGACCAAGTCACGCGACTCGCCCAAGGCCCATTCAAGGGTGTGACCACAAAAAGACCTACTGCTAATACACATAAGTACTATCTATATATAATATAAGTACATTGTGTGCCGACACACACATACCCTACTATATACACGTAATGGAGATATGTGTCTCGGTTGTATGTTTTAGACATTTCTGGACGTGTTCCTGTAATTGTTCGCCAAGTTCTTCATGGTGCTAAACATAACTTCATAGTGCATCAATTTGCACACCGCTTGTCTGGTATTTCAAACGCTGAACTGGTAATAGTACACAGCTATAGGTCTGTGTCACACGTAACACGCTGTATTGATGTCCCATTCATGAATGACGGAACATTATAACTGTTTGGTCATCGGTTATGTTGTAGGTAAACCACGCGCAGTCCGGACTACAGGAAGTCGTACATAGACAATCGGATAAAATGCATGTGTTTATCTAGTACAGTAAGAGGTACAAAAGCTCACACGTCATTTCACCAGGTTCCGGAGATCAAACAAAACGGTACATTGCCAATTATCCATGACAATAAGGGGGTTCACGGGATACTAATTGTGAGTGTATATTTGATGTGAATTGCAAATGCTGTGCAAATACCAGTAACGATTGGATATGAGGAGACGACCTCTGAGTAATACACTCCATATATAATGCACCGCAATAACGGATGTAACCTCGCGAACATTCCTCACCAATTGTTGTAACTATTGTGTATATGTTGATGTGGAGAGGGATAAAACATAACTTATGTCTGGTTGTAACGCGCGAACTAAAGAGCTGTGACAAATACGGTGTTGTTGACATTTAACGTATCCTCACAACACGGCGAGAATGGACGCAGCCAGCCCAGCATCCGAATCTATACATCTATAAATATATATATATACATGTAAAAGACACGTAACGACGGAGCGACAGAAGGATGGAGTTTATATAGAAGAAGGAATATTGAATCTTCCGGATAAAAATGCCTCGTACTCGACTGTGGTACGGTGAGTACTCGATAATATACCGATCTACGTCAAATATTATCACTCTTATACTTATAATATTTGAATCCATATTGTTTATTTTTATCGGTGTTAAGACATACAGACGGTGTATACATTCTGTTCTCCAGCTGTTCCCATCAAACACGTGTGCACACTCCGTCAGTTATACCGTGTAGGATTGTCATATATCACACTGGAGTTATAGAACTTTGTCTAGAGCTCTGTTATTTCATTTACGTATTTCGTTAAAGTGAGTAGATTTTTGGAAAATTTTCAAAGGGTGAACTATAAATAACAAAAGTCATTGCCGCTGCATTTTAAGACAAACTTAAGTCTTACACAATGTAGCACCGGAGACACGTCTTCATGTAGACAAAATGTCGGTATTTTGAATAACGGTAAGTTGACCATACTTCATAGAAGTTTTCTTGATGTTTTGCATTTGTACAACTCGTCCCAAAACAAGACTCTATTCCGAGTGACTTCAATGACCAATCTTAGCACAGGTTTTCTAAATAATTGATATGGGCGGTGGTATAAATTCACGGATTGTTATGGTTTGTATGCCTGGTCCGTGTAGGGTCGTTTTCGGTAGTATTGCTCTATAACAACGGAAATCAACAATCTAATTGTACCATAAGTGGCCGTCATTTACTGTTAGTAACACGTGCACAGCGCCGAGGTCCCATGGGACTAGCTTACGATGGTCGTCGATGATAAACAGTCATGATACTGTGTAATAATGCTGGCCCCGAACTGTGTATTTGTGAAGCATTATGTTGGGTGTAAACATATCCTGTTATAAAGAAAACATTAATGTCATATCCCCTTTGAAAAGAAATGATTCGTCATGTTTGACTATTGGTCAAAAGAACATCACGTGAGAAAACAAGGTATTTCGTTTTACGAAAACCACAAGCGAAGATAAGGCTTTCGCACCTAGAAATGTGATTTGATTAACATGCGAGATAAAATACATAGCGTTTCTATATGCATGATGTATAATATCCTGTCATAACACAGACTATAAAAATGTCTTATGTAGGAAAACATGTCTATTTTTGATATTGTATCTTCCATCTATATTGTATTGTACTTACAACCGCCAATAAAAATACACTTAAGCATGTATGAAGTTAACTTCCTGCTCGTGTACGAGTGTAATAGACGCAACATTAAGCCGGCTGTTACCACCACAATTTCCCCTTGTTGCTTAACTTCGCCAGGTCGGTCTAAAATTGAGTACCATAATATGCTATTGTAAGGATACTGCGGTTCCTATGATGTGGTATACTAGAGGCATGAATTAGCACTTTAAATGAGCTTCTGGAAATACGGACCAATAACAATCAGAGCACCGGTACATGTACACATCTACAGTAGCTTAATTACCTGAGTACACTGAATCTCCTAGTTTTTTTGTGTCCAATGTACATATATGAGTTCATTCTTAGCTCACGTCCCTGATGTACGTCACTGTAATGACAACATCAGATTTCCTGTATATTTCTCTGTACTAACGATACACCTTTATAACATATAATCCTATTCTAGAGTTATAACGTTAAACCTACTCTCCGTCCCAATAAAAAGGTGACGTGTGATTATGACTTCCTATTAAATACCCCGATACAAACTTACATTTCATGGATTATTAGAAATCCTATATAATTCAATTAAGTCACATTCTTTTGATACTTTCACACGTGCTATGAACTCATGAAAATACTTTTTTTCTGGTTTAACCGACATATGATAGGCATCTGTCATTAACTGTAGAAAATTCCAGATTTCGGAGTTTCAGCTGATTGGAAGTAATGGGTTTTGGCGTCACCGTGTTGCACTCGAACCTCTTTCTAGGCCTCGTTTCTCCCGGTCAAACTGGACAATTGGAATGGACTTTTAATTTTTGGATAGCAGGGAAACATATTTGGCAGTACAGAAAAGACGTACATTGTGATTTCACGGGGATGTCACAATCAAATTGCCAGATGCAGCGTCATTTTAAATGTTGGTCGTTTGAAAATGAAATATATTCTTGATGAAGTTCAGATATATTTTTTCAACACGTGAGTCAACAGTTTTACCCTGTTTTCATTCTTTGCACTTGTTGAAAAAGTGTTTAGCCCATTCCACGCAATTTACTTGGTTAAAACAATTTCATATGCAATCAATCTGATTAAAATTACATCCTACATCCACTATGTAATACAGTATTGCCTAACGTGGTACATAGTGAATGTAGGATACTATTTTAATCAGATTAATGTTCAATGGGAACCGTTTCAATTGCTTAAGGTCTTCTTTGAGGAAATCGTGGGCAGATATTGTTTATACAGTAAATGTAC